TTCAAAAAAAGCAAGTCAAACTTAATCAAATTTCTGTCAACATTAAATACATGTCATTCAGAGCACCCACAATGCATAGGGTCTCTTAAAAAAATAGTATATGTCATGTAGGAATTATGCTTAGTCTATCAAAAAATGTCTCCCAGTGCAATTAAAATTGGACATAATCTAGCTTATGTGGCAATAAAAAAAAATAGAACAAGCCCACCCTTGAGTCTATTTTAGACTCAAGCACAAACCTAACCAGTCAACAATCATTCACAATTTTCTCTTTTTTTTTTTAATAGTCTAGACCTAGTATTTTGTTTTTGCATTGAAAAGTTTTTGGGTTTTTTCACTTGAGTTTGTCCATATCATTTAAGACCCAAGTCCAATTATATGCCACATACACAAAAAGAGACCCAAAGCATTGTGGGTGCTCTCATGATAACTTGTATTTTTTATTATTTAGAAACTCATACATCTTAATGGTGCCCTTAAAATGTGTAAATTGTTACTTTTTTTAACAGAAAATCGAGCAGAATTAATAGTGCCCTTAAAATTTGGAATCGAGATAAATATGGTTATTATTCTACAAATCTGTTTAACATAAGAATCGGATTTATCATATATTATGACATGTGTCTTGATTTTATCGAATTTATGTAATCTCATACACATTGTTTACTTAATTGAAATGTGCGACATAATAAATTGGCCAAACTGAAATCTATCTCAACACAACTTTATAATATAAAATATTGAAATCACAATACAATTGTCGTTCTCCTATCTCAATTGATATTGTCAAAGCTTTATTGTGGTTTAAGAAATCTCGTACTAAATAATCCCGAATTTAATTAGGTAACTTTGTGTTACATTGCATAATATATTCACACACACATATATATATATATGATAAAATTTAATACACATATTATATAATTTTTTATTCAACATATCTATATCTATCTATATATAAAGAGACTAACCATTTACCAGAAATATTAAGCAAAAAATTCAGGCAAAATTAAATGCATGCTAATTTGAGATTTTTTTAAGTTTGTATTTTCTTTTAACATAAAAAACGGGCAACATTTAATGCTCTCATCGAAATTGAGTATTGTTCAATCCATATTCAAAAATTGCGGTTGTTAATGTTTTTTAAAAAAAATTGGACTGATTATTCTAACCATTTTGGACAGATTTTACAACCATTCATTAAACTAAGATATGTTCAAGTTAAAATATCAACGTGGTGTATATCAAATTGTATGCATTTCAAATTCTAAAACACCAATGCGCACATTTTTTTAGATATAAATATTCTTCAAAAATTTTGTACCGATTTTTTTAACCATTTTGAACGGATATTTCAACCATTCCTTAAATTAAGGATTTTGTTCAACTTAGGTATATATGCATTTCAAAATTCAAAAACACCAATATGCACATTTTTTTAGATATAAATTTACTAAAATGATGAATTTTGTTCAGTTTGAAATTAAATGAAACTCTACTCACATGGTATTTTAAGAATCACATTTTCAAACTTTTGGCATATTTAGTTTATTTATACGAGTTTCATAATTGATTTTGAATTTGAAATGATTTCAAGTTCATTTCAGTTTTCAAATTGCCCTTATTTTGGACTATTATTTGGACTTTGGAGTAGTGAGAATTTTTTTATATTTTATGTACTTTTAATAGTTTAGAAAATCTTTAAATGAATTCACATTTTATTGAAAATAATATATAATATTTTAGATGATCTTACATATGTTACAAATATTTTAGGTGTTCTTAATATTTTAAACATATATGTTTTATGTGATCTTAGACAAGATAACTTTATAGGGTAAAAAAAATTTTCTCATCCAAACTATGACGATTTTGGCGCATCACCATATAAACTTTTTTTTTTTTTACAAACCATCATCTAAACTATACGTGTTTGTCAAGTTGCCCCCTAAACCGGATAGAAAAATGGTTTTGACTAAAAAAGCTGATTTGTAATGGTATATTTGTAATTTCATAATATTTTTTAAAAACACAAAAAGAATGAAGAGAAATACATGGTGCGACGAACTTCTCCAGGTGCAGCCGCCGACCGCCGGCTAGCCCCATGCAGTAGACCACCGACAGAAAGCATCGTCGTCGTAGTGCGACTGTCGACACGTACGGAGCATCGTGTACGCTCGGAACATTCGTCTACTCACGGGAGCAAACTTTGCCTTCTTCATGGTCGTCGGAGACATGCTCGGCTACGCCACCGGCCGGAGCTGTCAACGGTTCCTCCCGTGCGCAGCAGAAATCGAGGCGTGCGACGAGAGCTACGCGCACATGAAGGCGTGGGTCATTCTACAAGTCGGGCTCGTCATGGGCTCCGTGGCGAGCCTCGTGGGGGAGGAGCCACTCGACCAGTTTGACCTCGACCGCGTCCGTGCATAGAAAAAGCTCACCCCACGCGACACTTCCAATCCCATGTCCCTTTTTTCCGCTTAACAGACAAATAGGGCAGATGCAGGTGAAAAAAGTCTATTGCTTTTCCTCAGCCTCTCGAGCTCATTTAGGATGACCGAGTCAAGATCGGGCATGTCCCTCCTCAGTTCACAACACTTTGAAACCAGCTTAGCCAGTGAGAGGGTCTCCTCGACTGGCTAGTCCCCAACCATGTAGTCGAGCACATTCGACGCGATTTCAACATGGTGCGAGAGGCCCTTGGCTGGCCAGGCCGTGAGGATTTGCAGCAACATGACCCCGAACGAGTAAACGTCAGATTTGGTCCCCAAGCATCCCCGAAGATAGGCGGCGGTTGCGGATAGTCGGGCTACTGGCCGGACGAGTAAACGTCGGACTGTTTATGGGCTGAGCGTCGGGCTACGGCTGTGAGCGGGATACCGGCCATATTTTTTCTCCTCGCGTTCAACCATTTCTTCTCGCTGCTATCTGACCGTTCAATTTTCTTTTTCCGTTTTTTTTTCCTGTTCATAGGCCATTTATTTTTCTGTTCATAGCTAGCGAGCGTGAAAAATGAAAAAAGAAAATGAGTTCCTGTTGAACCACTAACTTCTTTTTGGATTATATATACGTGGTGTGAGAGAAACAATTTTTTGCCGTTCATTTTTTATTTTTATTTTTCTTTTTTGAAAAATATTATGAATTACGAGAATACCCTCACAAATCATCTATTTTTAATTAAAACCACTCTTATTTCTGATTTTAGGGGGCAAGTTGACAAATCCGTATAGTTTAGATGGTGATTTGTAAAAAAAATAAAAATTAATATAGTGATGCGCTAAAATCATGATAGTTCAGATGGGAAAAAGTTTTTTACCCTATAAATTGTACATTATATCACATGTTAACCTCACTTTTTTTAAAGTTCTAACTATTATTTAATATTTTTTCTCACTATTTAATTTACAATGATTATTTAATATTGTTTACATGTGCATCGCACAACGTATGCACTAGTTAATATATAACTTGAATCATATTTCTCACTCTTCAAAAATAAGCTCTGAGAAAATAAATACACTACGAATATCTTCTCAGAATGTAGAAATTTTCTACATCATCTAATTCAACTCGTATTAAATATTTAAGCAAAAAAAAAAAAAATCAAAATTTGCTAAAATCCAATTTTAAGTATATGATTTTCTAACATACTAAACAAACCGAACCAAACCAAACTGAATCGACTCATTTGTTTTTTTTTTTTTTGGTACAAGAAAAGAGGCTATGCAAAGCCTATACTACTAAATGACAACCGACCGAGAATAGGCCACTCCGACTTGATCATGAAGTAACCATATTGCAGCTCCTATCGGGAGCTGGTTCAAACGATGAAGACCTCCTGGGCTCTTAGCCGCTAAAGACGCCAGATAGTCAGCAACGAAATTTGTTTCGCGATAGCCATGAGAAAGAGGCACCTCTCATTGCCGACTCAAAATATCCTTTATTCCCGAACACGAGCTACTCCCAGCTCGGGTCCAACAACACCCCTACGCATACTCCCGGCGTGTTTTGATTTCCATTATCACTAATTTGCCCTGTGGGCTAACTTGCATTGAAGTCTCCCTCATTCACTGGTCCCATAAGTTTGATTTTCTTGCAAAAAAAATATCTCTAATGTAGGAATTAAAGGAGCTTCAACTAATCACCACCCAACTTGGCAATTGCCAAATAGTTGTGCGTCACTCCGCCATAAATGTAGTGTGACCATTTTTTTGAGTTTTCTTGGATAAAGATCAAACCTTTTTACAAACCCCTCCAAATAACTTGTCGGCTCAGCAATCATCAGCATCTCAGTTGAGAAAATTTGAACAAAAAACATGAAAATTGGAGGTGAAAAATGATTGGCCCCCCATTTGCTTTCCTTCATTAAATTCTTGAACATGGGCTGAATTATGAACAGCTTGTGCTCAAGAGGGGTAGTTAGAGTCAGTTTCAGAGCTATTTGGTGGGTAAAATGAAAGTTTGTGGTGAAGTTTTGCGATGAGTTGGCGGTGGATGGGATAGAGACTATTGCCCTTTTTCTTGGTTGCGATGAATAATTTGGACACAAGTTAATATTGTGAGCTTTTTTGGAAGCTTTTGGGGTTAATCTGATTTGGGTTTGCTGAGACTGGAGAGTATCTGTAAGTTTGATAAACTTGAACAAAGATCGATGTCTTGGGGAGTTTCTTTCTTCTTGCTGGTTGCTCTTCTTCTCCAAGTGTTTGGTGTAGCAGCCTTGACAAATACTGAGGATTGTAAGTTGTCTTTTGCTTTAAGAATGATTTTACTCTATCTTTTTTGAGAGATGCTACAGTCCCTCGTTGCGGAACCATTCC